AGATGTCCCTCCCTCTCCGTTTCGTGTCCCCGACTGTGAAATGAGGCCTGGCGTTGGTGGCCAGGCCAGGAGGTTCTGACAGCTGGCCCTGGGGGTCGGGCAGAAGGTGCAGGGACCCAGGGAGACGTGTCCCCACAGGAGGATGGCGCAGAAGGTTGGTCTGCCCGAGGTGCGGGAGCGAGTGGGAGCCTCGCACGGCATCACCGACCTGGCCCGAAAACTCCACTTCTATAACGGCTGGGCCCCCGACTATGATCAGGTAACCCCTAGGGGCCTGGCCTCGGCCTGCTGGCCATCTGTAAACTGGAAATGGTTAGCTCGCCTCTGGTCCTGGGACAGCTGTGAGAAGGGAGGGTGACTGGGCCAGCTCCTAGAAGTCCTGCTCTCTTGGGAGCTGGTGACCCCTTCCCTGCCCATCCTCAGACTTGCCCTCAGACCTGCCCCGCACCCAGACTGCAGGGACTAAGACCCTCCTACCTTAGATCTGCAGTCCCACCAGGGGACACCCTGGAGTAGGGGCCATTGAGAGTGACCCCACTCTAAACAGAGAACCACCTTTGCCAGCAGAGAAACACCCGAGAGCAGAGTGGGTGCTCCCCCCTCTAGGCAGGTCTCCCCTAACGGTACCCCTGAAGGGGCTACACACACACACCACTGGACCTGGCTGACTCCCATGGGAAGTCCCCCAGGCCCTAGGACACAGGATGGCGGTCAGCACTCTGTCCCCAGGACGTGGCGGCCCTGCAGTACCGTGCCCCGAGCCTGGCCGTGGACTGCCTCATCCGAGCTAGTTCAGCTCTGCCCCAGCCAGCCCTGATCCTGGATGTGGCTTGTGGCACCGGCCTGGTGGCTGTGGAGGTGAGACCTTCCCAGGTTCCCTGTCCCTGCCAGGCCCCCCACTTCTCAAGCATGCTACCCTGCCCACCCTTGGCTCACAGGCCTTGCCTCCAGTGTGGCCCCCTGCCCTCCCAGATAGGGGGACCCAGCTGGGACATGACCGGAGGCCCGGCCCCTACCCCAGCTACAGGCTCGGGGCTTCCACCAGGTGCACGGAGTTGATGGGAGCCCAGGGATGCTGGAACAGGCTCGGGCCAGAGGCCTGTACCAGAACCTCAGCCTCTGCACCCTGGGCCAGGAGCCCCTGCCCAGTCCTGAAGGTACTGCCCCCCCAAGCCCCTACCCCCTGCCTGGCTCCCACTCCCCTGCTGAGGGCCTTCTGAGTCCTTGTCCTTAGTCCCCTTGTTGAGAATGACTGCCCTCACCAAGCCCCCCTTCACCTCCCAAGTCCCATCCTCCTCCCCCGGTTACACTCCCATTCACCGTACTGAACCCCCACCCACCCCCTCATGGAGCTCCTCTCAGAGGCCCGAGGAGTCCCCTCACTGAGCCCGCTACCCTGTGTATGATCTGACCACAGCCCAGGCTAGGGCCACACCTGCCACGGCCTCTCCACAAGACCCGGTGGCAGGCCTTGCCCCTCCCCAGGCCCCCAGCACAGGACATTGTCCCCTCCTGGGTAACCTGAGGATGAACCCCCCATCCCGTCCCCACGTCCCCCTCTCCCGCAGGGACCTACGATGCAGTGCTGATGGTGGGCGCTCTCAGTGAAGGCCAGGTGCCCTGCAGTGCGGTGACTGAGCTGCTTCGAGTCACCAAGCCAGGTGAGGGGCAATTCCAAGGACACACGTCGTCTCCCTTCACACAGGCCGAGGGAAGGCCAAGGCTCTGCCCGTAGTCCCGCAGGGCATGGCCGCAGCAGCCCCCGTCCCGGACAGCAGGCCATCCTAGTAGCCAGCTCACCACTCAGGGCGCTGGGAACAGCCTACTCTCGTCATCAGCCTGGCTCCTCCCCAGACACCAGGGTGGCCCCGACCCCTCCCCGCAGTAAGGAGCAGGTGAGACACTGCCTCTAGGATCTTCGCAGGTTCACAGTAGGTGCTCAGATTAGTTCCCTCATCCTCCAGCCTCCTCACAGACTGGTCAAACTCTCACCTCCCTGGAATCATTTCGGACTCTTGTGGTGAAGCGCTAGTCAGTCAGTTCTGGCCCATCTCGACCCTGTACACAACAGAAGGAAACACTGCCCGGCCCTGCGCCGCCTCCCAATGGTTCCCATGCTCGACAACATGTCCAAAATACGTAAGACCAAGTCTCACCATCCTTGCCTCTAAGGAGCGCTCTGGCCGTACTTCCAAGACAGATCCGCCTGACACTTTCAGTATTTTTCTCCAGTGCCACCCACCATTCAAGCGTATTGATTCTCCTCCGGTCGTCCTTAGTCAGTGTCCCGCTTTCACGTGCATATACGGTAATGGAAAGCACTATGGCTTGAGTTAGTGCGTGCACCTGAGACCTCAAAGTAACACCCTTGCTCTTCAAGACCCTAAAGAGCTCTTGAGCAGAGTTACCCAGTGCAACTCGTCTTTTGGTCTCTTGACGGCTGCTGCCGTGAGCATTGATTGTGGATCCCAGCAAGACCAGACCTTCGACAGCTTCAACCCTTTCTCCGTGTTTCATGATGTGACCTGCTGGTCCAGCGGTGAGGGTTTGGGGCTTCTGTACATTGAGTTGTGATCCACACTGCAGGCTGCAGTCCTGGATCGTCATCAGCATGTGCCTCAAGTTCTCCTCGCTGTCAGGGAGCCAGGTCCTGGTCATGGGCAGACTGCAGGTTCCTCCCAACCCTGATGCCCCGTGCTTCTTCGTGTAAGCCAGCTCCTCCGGTTCGTTCATTCACCCGTTCTCTGAGTCATTCATTCTGACTTACAGCAACTCTACAGGGCAGCAGAGAACTGTCGCTGTGGTTTCTAGGGTTAACTCTCTGCGCGAGCAGAAAGCCCCATCAGCTGCCAGTTCCGGCTCGCTTCCATGGGCGTGTCTGGTACACTAGAGGTGGGCCGAGGTGCAGGGGCAATGACATTTCCTGCACACCTACTGTGTGCCCTGCCCTGTGCTCTGGGGAGATGGCTGTGCGCTCTCTGGGCCCTCCCTCACCGATGCAGCGGGGTCCAGGAGGGCAGCAGGAGGCCCATGGCCACCAGAGCAGGGCAAGGGCTAGGACAGGCCTGCAGGCCATCCGTGTCCAGGGTCAGGGAAGCCCGGCAGGTCGAAAGGAGACGGCAGTTTGAGGGCCTGGAGGTTCTGCTGGCCACAGCACGCTGTCAGGAAGTCAGCCGGTGTCCTTATCCCCGGAAGATCACCCAGATCCCCCTCCCTGCTGCCTTCAGTTCCCGGCTAAGCCCAGGCAGGTCCGGGCAGGTTGGGGTGCAGCGAGAGGACACTGGCGAGGTCAGCCAGAGGGCTAGAGATTAAACCTGAAAACCCAACATGGCAGCATTCAGATCTTCCCTGCCCATCCCAACCCCACCGCCAGGGCCCCTTCTGCCCACCTCTCACATGTCCCTGTCACCAGGTGTTCCCTGCAGTCACGGGTCTCCCCTGCCCTTCTTCAGTGACAGTGCCACCTCACTGCAGGGGCCTGGATGAGACCTCAGGGACAGGGTTATCCCACCTGGAATTTGGGAGTGAGCCAGGCATTCTATACACACCAGACTTCTGGTGGGGGGAGGGGGGGGGAGCAGGGCCCCTTGGCCACCTGAGAGCCTGAGGCTCAGAGCAGTCAAGGAACCTGCCCTAGGCTTAAAGCCCTAGCGCTTCTCTCTGCCCTCCCTGCACCCACACAAGCTGGAGATGGGAGGCTGGCGGGGTGGGGCGGGAGGGGGGACGGAAGCGAGGCAGGCAGGAAGGAGCCTCTTTCTGGCGCTTTGGTTCAGAACTGCCATGAGTAAGCCGCTGGGCTGGGTCTTGGGGCGCCCGGGAGGCTGCGTCTGGAGGAGGGGAGCCCCAGGGCTGAACCGGAAGATGCGAGCTGGGAGGGCCAGCCTCTCCTGACTCACCCCTCGCCTGCCGCCCCCTTCCCTAGGTGGGCTGGTGTGCCTGACCACCCGGACCAACCCGTCCAACCTCCTGTTTAAGGAGGCGCTGGAGACCACCCTGCAGGGGCTCGAGGAAGCCGGAGCGTGGGAACGCCTGGCGGCCTGGCCTGTGGACCGGTGGGAGCTGGCCACTGCCGAGCAAGAGGTGGTGACCAGCAATGATGCCAACGACATCGGCTTCATCTCGGGCATCATCTACCTGTACCGAAAGCAGGAGGCGGCCCAGGCCCCAGGGACAAGGCCCAGCCCCCAGCCCCTTGCCAGTGACCCCACCTGTATCGACCCCAGCTGCTAGGGCCTCTTGGCTTCATCTGTAAAAGGGTACTGGGTGAATGCTCCCCAAGAATGTGCTGCCTATTAAATGAGCTCCGCAGAACGAGAGAACAGCCCTGGACAAAGTAGCCCTCGCGGCAAGAAAGGGTGACGGGGGGCCTCCAGCCCAGGCCGATGCTCGGGGTGACTGTCCCTGTCCCCGGTGTGGTGGGCACCCTCAGTTCACCAATGAGAGTGGGGCTCTGAATATGTGCGCTCTGACACGGGCAGGGTGAAGGTCAAGACCAGGTGACACGGCGGAGACCCAAGCCACTCCCAGACACCCCCGAGTGGGAGCCACAGGGCCCAGCTATGGCCAGACCTCGGTCACACATCCTGTCATGGCCAGGCCTGGGTGTCTCTGGCGTGAGAGGAACCTGGCGGGCCTTCTGGAGCAGGTGCACGGGTGCACTGTCGGGGAAGTGGCTAGGCCAGGATCGGGGCTGAGTCCTGCTTCTGGCTGGACCTTCAGGAAAAGCAGAATCCAGGAGGGTGGAGAGAGAAAATGGGACATTCCAGGCCTAGGGCCGGGACAGCCTGAGGGGAGAGCCTGCAGGACAGCCCAGAGCTGGAGGGCACCCCACCCTGGCTGCTTCAACAAAGCTGAGTGAGGAAGTGGGAGAGTCACCACCTGGGCGTGCCTCCTGGGGTCCCCCAGCCCCTGGCTGGAGTCCTGGGCACAGACGGGGTTCACCTTCCAAAAAAGAGGAATCGGGGATAGTTCTGATTTTTTCTAATCCCTCGTTTAAACCCTCAAGTCTGGGCCACAGACAAAGCTATTCCCCCCTCCTCCCCATTGACTCCCACCCCTCACCAGTCCCCAGCCCCTGCCCCAGAGACAAGACATGCCTCAGGCGTCCTGTGCACAGGTCCCATTTTATTGTAGAAAATAATAATAATTACAGTGATGAATAGATCTTCTTAAATTACAAAACAGAAACTGCGTAGGAGACAGGGAGCCCAGGGCCTCCTGCGGTGCCATCAGAGAGCAGCAGCTTCCAGAGCCCACCCACCCCCACCCCCCAGGAAGGCCAGTGTCCCCGGCAGGGCCAGAGGACTCAGAGGTGGCCAGGCCAGGGTCCGGTACAGGGGAATGCAGAGAGAGTCCTGAGGTGGCAGCAGGGTGGGGGCGGGAAGTGTGGGGAAAGCACCCACCACCCCTCCCCTGCCACCACCCAAACCAGTCGTAGCACCGTCACCCTCCCCTCCTGAACCCGTCTGTCCACTCCGCTCCTCCCTGGGCAGGTGGGTGGGCGAGGCCCCAGCCAGTTCTCAGGGCCTCCTCCGAGTTTCGATGGCGAGGCCCAGCCCTTGGCGCCCCCCACGCCCCAGGGCCCACTCCACCACCGGCCAGCAGTGGATTGGGAGCCAGCGGGTGGCAGCAAGAAGAGGCACCGGAGGGGTTCCCAGCAGCGGCAGCCGAGGTCATGGAAGGATCAGAGGGGGCGAGGTTCCTGGCACAGGCGGACAGAGCATCCTTGAGGCAAAGCCATCCTGGCCAGCAGGCATTCTTTAGCTCCGTCAGAGGAGGGCAGCCCAGGGGTCCTCGGACAGTATCGAGGAGGCCTCTGGGGTGGTCCCGAAGAGCCAGAGGCCAGGCTCAGTCCCTCCGAGCCCAGCCCCCGGGGCAGGCCCATCTCAGGTCACAGGCCCAGTCCAGGAACAAACAGATGGACAGCGGCGGCGGCCCCTTACACGTAGTTGCTGGTCGGGCCGGAGCGGGCCGCCGAGTACTTGGCCGAGTAGGCCTTGTCGTTGCGCGGGGGGCAGTTACAGCACAGCATGGCCCCGCCCAGCAGCAGCAGGCCTGCCGAAGCCCAGCCGATGTAGAGCGCAGCGCCCATCTCCCGCTTCTGGGAGGAGGCCAGCACGGGGTTGTAAAAGTCTCTGATGATGTTGTGGGCCGTCCAGGACACGGGCACCATGACCAGCAGGCAGGCCAGCAGGAAGACCACGCCGGCACCGATCATGGTCTTGGCCTTGGCGGTCTCGTCCTCCACGCAGTTAGTGCACTTGCCGCCCATCACGGACAGCAGCACGCCCACCGCGGCCATGATGATGCAGACCACCATGAGCGCGCGCGCGGCCTGCAGGTCCTGCGGCAGCGCCAGCAGCGAGTCGTACATCTTGCACTGCAGCTGCCCGGTGCTCTGGACCACGCAGTTCATCCACAGGCCCTCCCAGGTGACCTGCGCAGTCAGGATGCTGCTGCCGATGAAGGCCGTCACGCGCCACATGGGCAGCGCGCAGCTCACGATGACGCCCAGCCAGCCCAGCACGGCCAGCGCGACGCCCATCACCTGCAGCCCCATAGAGGCCATGGCTCCAGCGGACCAGCTAGGGGTCTGGGCGTGAGGCGACACGGGGCGGCTTCGGGGGTCCGGGGTGCTGAGGTCGGCGCTCACAGGAACAGCCTGTCACAGGAAGCAAGCCAGTCCACTCCGCCACTCACCGCTGCGTGCTGAGCGTACAGGTGCCCAACCCAGACCAGTTCCTTTTCGGTGGCCACAGCTGCTCCAACTGCTCTTGGAGCTGCCAGTTGGGGTAGTTATAGGGCTCTTGGGAGGGAGGGAGGGCCTTCAGTCCCCGGGGCCGCCCCCTGACTAGTTTCTCTAGATTCCTGAACCGAGATCAACAAAAGCAGCCTGGGCCTCTGGTGGCTGTCCTGGAGAGCCGGTATCAGAGGAAACTGCCCTCTCCCCTGCCTCCAGGCTTGGGCTGAGGTCATCAGGGAGACAAACACTGAGTCACAGGCCATGGCCACGGGGGCCTGCAGGGTGGGGCCGAGAGGCAGGAGCAGGGCAGCAGACCAGGGTCCCCTTCCTAGTGGGCCCTCACTCCAGGCTTGGGCAGGTGGAGCCTCTCAGGGTGAGGGGCTGAGGACGGAGCCCCGGGAACGTGGAAGGCAGGCCAACATTGATGAATGCCAACCGTGCCCTTATCATCCACACTAGGCGCTAATGGTGATGAGGGGGAGGGTGGTGACGAGGGGAAGGGTAGTAATGATGGTGATGGTTACCGCCGGGACCTTCGGCCTCCCCGGCAAGCTTCCTGGCATGAGCCAGATGAGTCTCACCACCCCACCAAAGTCCAAACTCACCCCGTTCTGGCTCCCAGAGGACAGAAGACGGACGCCCGGGGGGGTTTCTGAGTGTGTCTGTCCTTTAAGGAAGTAGCAAGCCTCATCTTACTCTCTGGGAGTGGCGGATGGATTTGAACTGCCGGGGCTGCAACCTGTAATCCACTGCGTCTAGTTCTAGGGAACAAGGTGCTGGGGCCCAGGACTGATACATCCATCACCTGCTCACCCCCTTCCTCCTCTCCCTCCATTGGAGGTGACCCATTTGGGAGCAAAGTGGAGGAAACTCACCCCCTCCCCTCCATGAGAGTATCACTCTGTGGGCTCTGCCCTGCCTGGGCTGAGCCAGCCTCCAGGGAAGTTGAGGGGTGGGGAGGAATACCACAAAGAATGAGCCGGGAGCCAGACCCTGGAGACAGCAGGCCAGCAAGCAGGTGCTTACTCTGGGAAGGAAAACACACACAATTGCCTGATACAATTGCCCCAGAGAGGGGCAAAGTCCCTTTGAGAGGGTCAGACGCGGGTGGAAGTAGAAACCTAACACCAGAGGGGGCCCTGGCATTCTCGGGCTGTGTTATAGGGCACCCTCATCAACATGAATCAGCCCCCTGGATCTGCACGGGGCCGGGCGAGAGAGCCGGCAGTGCTGGGAAACTGCGGAATCCAGCTTGACCAGAGGCAGGGGAAGGGTCCAAAGTCTCTGCTGCCCACATTCAGACTCCAGCCCACCCCGGCCAGCCGTGCCTGGCCCCACCCAGGCTGTGCCCAGCCACCCACAGGGCCAGGGACTGAGTGCCCACCCACTGTGCAGGAAGGAATCTGGATGGAGGGACAGAGGGACAGGGGTCCAGGATCAGGAAGGACCTGGTCCAGGTTGAGGGTGTTGAGGGCCAGGGAAAAAGTAGCCCTTGGGGTAAGAGAATGACTGGGTTCCTCACAGCTGGGTAAGGGGGTCCCTCACCCCTACATGGCCATTTTGGGGTCTTTTCTCCACATACTAAGGAGCCCTGGTGGCACCTAGTGGGTTACACATTAGGCTACTAACCGCAAGGTCAGCAGTTCTAAACCACCAGCCGCTCCTTGGGAGAAAGAAGAGGCTTTCTACTCTGGTAAAGATGTACAGCCTCAGAAACCCACAGGGGCAGCTCAGCCCTGTCCTATAGGGTCACTATGAGTCCAGATGGGTAGACTCAGTGGCAGTGAGTTTGGTTTTGCCCCCCCCCATCTCCCCGCTGATGCTGGGGAAGCACCTTAGGGACCAGTGCTCTGCACTGCCCAGTTCCACAGCACCTGGGACCCCATGGTGGCTGTGTGTGCCGTTCTGACCCAGAAGAGCTACCCCTGAACTTCCTGGGGCAGAATCATCACGGGTGCTCGGGGAGGGAAGCTGTGAGCCACAGGACGCGGGCAGCCCCCGAACACCGGGGCAGGATGGGGCAATGTCCCCATGCCCACTCATGAGGAGGCCTGATGACCTGTGGGTTGGGTGTCACCGGGCTGTTAACGGCAAGGTCAGCGGTTAAAACCCACCAGCCTCCAAGGGAGAAAGATAAAAGGTATCAGGAGCCCAGACAGAGGTCACGATGAGATGAGTCAGAGTCGCCCCGACAGCTGTGGGGCGAAGCTGCTTGATGACTGGGCTGGGGGCTCCTTGGAACCAAGGCAATGCCTTCCTCTGCTTCTGCACCCACACAGAGACCCAGATTGGGTGCGGGGGCCCATGGATAGCGGCCGGGCTCTGCGGGCTCTCAGCTGCCCTCTCCCCACACCTTCACCCCGCCCCATGCACACCCCAAAAAACACCAACGGGGGTGGTTTCTCCCTGGACCACACCCCCCTGAGGCCCTCCCTGCCAGTCTGCAAGCTGGCACACACAGCCCCAGGGCCAGACAGCGGCCAGACCCGCCCTGTAATTGAGGAGAGTGCTTGCCTGCGGATGACCTCATTGCAGCCTCCTGGGCTCAGACGAGTAAACTGAGTCCCTGAGAGGCCCAGGGACCAGCCAGCCCAGGGCTGGGCATGCCCTCCCTCCATGTGGACCCGTCTCAGTCTCTGTGACTCCGTCTCCTCCTGCCCTGCCCAAGCCGTCTGAGTACAGCAATGAATGAGGCCGAACTCACGCCCATCTCTGGCCTTTGTTCTTCCGGGACGCGATCCACCGGGCTAGGGGAGTCAGCGGGGCAGCACGGCAGGCTCTAGAACGTTCCGCCTGCAGTCCAAGGAAATGACTAAGAAACTGACCCTACCCCGCTTAGCCGAGCATAGCAGAGGCAGAGAACAGGTTGTAGGAACAGGAATGAGGTGCGGGCCAGGGCAGTGGGGGGAGGGAACAGGTTGTAGGAACAGGAATGAGGTGTGGGCCAGGGCAGTGGGGGGAGGAAACAGGTTGTAGGAACAGGAAGGAGGTTCCGGCCAGGGCAAAACCAAATCCAAATGCCCGCACAGTCAAGACCTTGGTCTGCCCCCGCCCTCCCAGTCTGGCTCTGGGACACAAGGAAAGTCCCCTCTAGCCCAGAGCCTGGCCAGCCTTCCACTCCAATCCTCGAGCCTCGACCCTGCAGAGGTACCTGACCTGACGCTCTCACCTTTGCCTGGGGGCAGAGAGGGGCAGGCCTGGCATGGATTTCCTTCTTCTTTGTCCTAGCAGGTGCCGGATCATTTAATTCATGGCAACAGAATTGTATCAGACCCGCTGATAATTATCGGGACAGCATCCCCTCTTCCTCCCCAATGGGCTCACCCAGCCCTGTCCACCCCGTTAAGCCTCCCAAGGCAGCCCAGGGTGTCAGGGAAACCATCTCCCAGCCTCAGCTTCCTCCTTTGTAAGAAGAGACCACTGAAGCCCCTTCCCCTTCTCTAGAAGAGAGGTGGGGGGTATGCCGGCAAGTTTGGTGACCGCTCACCCTCC